CCTATACCCATACCTTCCCTGGCACCAAGGGTGCTCCCTTCAAGGCCACCTGGGTCTCCCTCACCTTTGGCAATGCTGCTGGGCAAGCAGCATGTCCAGCCCATCCAGGGCCACTTGAATCATCTCAAGCTGTGGATTCTTCATCAGGGCACCCAGAGGCAGGCAGGTAAAGGGCCAGGCCTGCACCATTTTCTTCAGGACCTCAGTGTGTTCCCTGCTGAAGGCCTCCACAAAGAGTGGTGGGAAGAGCTCTATGGGCAGGTCCTCCAGATCCAGGACAGCCCTGGACTTGTGGCTCAGCAGGCTGCGCCCTGCCAGCTCCAGCAGCTTGGGTGGGGACTGGATGCTCATCTTTGGGAGTCTGAAAGAAGAAGGATCCTGGAAAATGGTCCAGAGAAAAGGTCATTATTCCATCCATTGCCAGCCACTGGGAAGGGGGTACTGGAGAGTCCAAAAACTCACTCCAACCTTAATGGAGGAAAGCCTTTGATTATTATTTTGTCCTTATAAAGTGAGAATTGGTGTGTCATGTGACTTAATCCAGTAGGCTCCTCAGTTTCAATAACTACAGTGGCTCAGAAAGGAGTTGCCCTCACATGGGTGATGTTATTTTTAATTTCAAAAAAAATAAATGAGCAATTATAAAGCATGTGCCCATATTATAAAACACTTGGAAATTACAATGGTGTCTCATGGATATCTATTACACAGGTGAGATTCTGCCACCTTAGGGGGGAGTTGAAGAGAACAAACAGATCAGAACAGAGTCTGTGAACTGTTGCATGAGATAGTTTGAAGCTTTTTGTTTAAATTGTTTAAACAATTTAAATTGTTAAATTATAATATTACAAAACTACATAAGCCCCAAAGTATAATTTGGGGGATGAGGTGATATTGGGGATTGAATTCAGGACACTCAACCAGTAAGTCACTACCCCAGCCATATTTTGTATTTTAGATGGATACAGGATCTCACTGATTTGTTTAGCACCTTATGCTGCTGTGGGTGGCTTTGAACACTAATTCTCTGGCCTCCTCAAACTCTGGAGTTGTTGAGATTACAGGGGTTTGCCACCACACCCAGCAAAACAGTACAATTTTAAGGGTACACAAAATAAATATTTTTATTATCAGAAAATAGAATTTCAATCAATTAGAATGAAAAAGGATTGCAATCCACTTCCTTGGTTAAGTAATTTTACATTAGTTTCATCTGGAGCTCA